AATTAGAACGCTGTTCACATTTCTGTCCTCAGATCTTCCCTCTGCTCCACAGCGTTTTGGAGATAAACATGCATGTAATGGTACTTCTCCTGCATTAATGCCTCTCCTCTGGGGCTTCTACTGGTAAATCTACCAAAATAAGACCCTTTTCCAGTATAGAAAACAGAAATGTAAACCATTACAGAAATAAGTGCTTGAAAACATCCTGCAATGCTAAATCAGGGAATGAAATATCTCAAGTTTTAAATAACATTATTTTTTATTTAATGACTGTGCTTATTTATCAGATGTGCCACCATAAAAAAAAAATAGCCATTGAATTAAAAATCTAGATTTAATTGTTTATTCAAAGAAATATTTAATCAAGATTCCTCCTATTTGGATTGTAACACCACATTTAGATAAGTAGCCCCCTCTTTGCCACCTAATGGACATGTGGGGTTCCAATGATGCAGATGCGTCAGAGCCTATAAATGCTATTAGTGGAAAAGAAAAACTGTTACTCCCCTAAATGTCATACAAAATTGCAACAGCAACTTGGGTACTATTTTACGCAAATCTATCAATTATAGATCTATAGTTTTATTGCATGGAAATTAAAAAGAACAAAAGAACAAGGCCAGTATTAAGCCCCCGCCTGGCCATTCCTGGCCATTCCTATACAAATGTTCTGGAACTGTTGCTCTTGGTTCCTGGTTGAAAAAAGTTCGGGTACGTCGAAGGGTAAAACTGAGGCCCAGATTTGATAAAATCTAAAATACTTGAAATAACATTGTTTATTTCAACATTTTATGATCTGAAAATTTGTTAAGACACTTTTAGAAAATCGGCCCTAATGTGGGGCCCCTTGCTAGGTTTCTGAAACAAAGTGTTGGAAGGAAACCTTTAACCCAAACAGGCACTGTGGGGGGATACCTTTTGGGTCAGGATTATTTTGTCAGCTTGGGCCCTTGCAGAGATTTCTACAGTTTTCTGTGTCCTGTAACCCATTGTAAGACTAATGGCATGAGAGAAAAACCCAGCCTGGTAACAAAGGTTGTAACTTTGTTCGGTTATTTTGGCGTCTCCAGCCTTCCAGATTTCTTTAAATCTGCCACAGGCTATTATATTTACATCTCTTTCTTTAAGTTTTTTTTTTTCTAGTGAAGTTGTTTGTGGAAGAAAATCTAAAATAATTAAATATTAAAGATTAATGCACTGGCTGAAATTCTTTCTTTTCCATTTCCATTTAGTTTTATCGTCAGACATGCTTTTGAAAAAGTCAGTAAAACACTTTGGCACCTGCAGACGATGGATCTGTTCTCACATAAACTCTGAATCAGTGAACAGATTAATTTGATCGTGTTCAGCAGAACAAATCATCCTCCACATCTGCGCTGATTTCAGACAGAACAATACCATCATCAAACCCACGGTGACAACTCCCGGTATTTCCAGCTGCAGCTTCACTGAGCGAGTGGCAAAGTGAGTGTGGGTGTGACAAACACAATGACTGGAAGGCAAAAACTAAAGAGGGTTGAAAAGAGCGAAAGGAACGACAACAAGGCTGTCAATCTGAACGCAGAAACATTACAAATGTGTGTATTTATCTGCAACAATGAAAATCAGGACAGAGCTGACTGGAAGCAGGCGTGAATTCACACCCACCCACACAACAGCAGCCCGCTCTGCGCTCAGTAAGTGCAGAGCTGCAGGCTCCTTTAACCCATTTCTCAGTTCTAATGCTGTGTTTACAACCATCCACTGACCAGCCTCTTTCCCAGAACATCCCATCTTTGAGAGGGTAAAAAACCCCACTGAGACCAGCTCACGGGAGTTCAGATACACGCTTTTATCCTATTACCTCCATTATCATAACAGAGATCTAAAGTGAGGACATTCTGACTGTTAGTCATCTTTTCTGCTGAGCAACTCAGTGTCATTGCTGCCACGTCACCCTGTGCTAAAAGAACAGTCGAGGGTATTTCTTCTAGCATGTTACCTCTCCGGTATTCCTGATTTCATTTTCCCTCCAAGTCATTGCTGATACATAACCTCTGCAGCCTCTGCTCTAACTGGGTTCATCTTATGGTTCTCATTAATGATAAACGGATATATAAGCCAGCCGATACTTGTTTTTCATGTACCGATATGTGGAGTGCATGCTTGCACCTGCCTCCATTTGCTATCCATTGTTCAGGTTTTGTTTGATTTGTTAATAAATGTGTTTTTTTCTTTTTGTTTGTTATCATTGTGACATTTTCATCATTTAAAGAACCGAAAAAAATACAATAAAAATAACAGTCCAGTCTGGAGTTTTAAAACAGCATGCTTTGTCTTCTGTTCTTTCCATTGCCTGATTCCGCATGTGATGAGCTTTGGTAGAGGAAAAAAGAAAGAAAAACAACACAGTCTTGAAAAATCATCCTAAAAAGATAAGCAGCATATATTGGTTATGGATTAGACTAAAGTCAAAATGACCAGTATCGTCATCGAAATTAGAATTGTCATTGGCCATTGATGACTCAGTCCTTTCCAGTCAGTCTACACTAACCAACAACTGCTCTCATGTTTTCTTATGAGGAGTTCATATTCCATTTTCTGACTGCAGAGGTCCAAATCAGAGAACAAGTTGAAATCACAGGCAAAGGACCAGTTAAGCATGTCCTTAACAGTTAAATATAGTTTTGTTTCTATATTTAACTAAAATCGACATAAAACGACCCAACATCTCATAAGAAAACCTGAATGGGCCACAATTAGAATAGAAAAAACTACAATGATCATGCCCTAAAAGCTTGACCTGAACATCTGGAACAAATTGTTCTCAGATTTTATGATTCATTCTCTCCATCACCAGCTTCTCCTGCAGGGCACAAACGTATGACCAACAAAACTCCTAGTGGAACCTTTGTATATCCAATCTGTTGTGTAAACAGGCCAACAGGGAAAGTGCGAACAGATGAGTCAGACAAAGAGCTCAACATCTCTTTCCTCTGCTCTGCCTGTTTTTCTGTTTGTATCACAGAAAACCAGCTGAGTTCTCTCTGCAAAGTAAAAAAGTACCACAGCAACAGGTGGGTGAGGGGCAGTAGTACTCCAGATATATATCCATATAGATCTGCTTACTCCTTCTCTTTGTCTACAAACTTTAAAAAAGAGGATTTCCTCGACCCATGTTAGTAAAACTGTACCATGCTTGGTTCTAGTCCTGCAGCACTGTGGGATTGTGCATGTTTAGCAGTTACACAATCACTCAGACTCATGCCAACCAACAACATATCCTCTATCAAATTCACTGCAGTTTTGAAGCTGCAGTCTAATTCGTTGAATGTGGACCATTTTTCATAGAAAAACACAAAATATATTTAAAAAGACAAAGCATTGTATATAAAACGGGAACACGGTTATAATACAGGTTTACTCAAATATGAATGTTATAAACTACAAGCCTAGCAGGTCTGATATTAATCACTTAAAGTTAAATAAAATTACCAGTTAAGATCATGGAAACTGAAATGTTTCTATTCCTGATTTACTATTACCAGATGTTTTTGCTCGCTAACCAAAGCTTTTCAGCACCAAGGTCAGCTCCCAGAGAAGCAGCTACAGTAGGGATGTTATTTATTACACAGAGCTTTGACTAATCATAGGTGCACAGAGATTATATTGAGCACTTCACTTTTCTCCTATTTTCCTCCCTGTTCAGGGAGGCAACACACATGATAACATGGAGCCAAAAATGGTTTTAAGAAGGCTTGTTTTATAAGACTAGTTTGACTCAGCTGAGAAGAACCACAAAATCCACTGGGGTCCCACTCTAAGGTTCTTTATGGGTGTTTGTAGGTCAACTGTTTGGATGTCAAATTTGTTCCTTCTGTGATCCAATCCAATATCCAGAGTATGAATAACCCTTACGGCACAGAGCCTAGATACATGATGGATGGACTTTAGCTGACTGCAGACCTTCTCTAAAAGCTTTTGCTAACCAAAGCTTTTCAGCACCAAGGTCAGCTCCCAGTCTCAAACATTCCTCTGGAGATTTCCCTCAACAGTTTGTTTCTTTTCGACATTCGTGTGTTGATCTGTTTTTCTTCTCAGGCTGCCTGCCCTGCATTTCACACTGGATCTGTTGACATCCAGACTCTACAGCTGAGCCACATCAGAGACAACATCTCCTCCTTTGTTCAACACATAGCTCACTCAGCACCGCCACAGGCGCTTTCTTTGTCTGAATCAAAGTGTCACTAGCAACACAAACAGAAAAAAAACAGGAGAGCCACTGATCCACTCTCACTGAGCTGCATACCCAACAAGGAATCCTCCCAGTTCAAAGACCCCCAAACCCTGCTGAGACCATGGCAGGAAGAGTTTTGCTCCAACATCCCTACAGAATTCAGCCTTTTCCATCAATCTCCCAAACTCAGAGCGGATCCATGAATTATGGAGCAGGGGCTATATTTGGACTGGGTGGGGGGGCTGGCTTTGTTCAGCACAAAGTCACTTTAAACCTGCCTGGATGCTGATGGTTGTTTATGGCCAACATGTGTCTGTGCACACACAGATACCTCCCTGACTGACTGAGCGGCTGCAGCAGAGAATCTGAAGCTTTATTATCAGTATCTGTTCCTCATCCATCCTGACCAACACCCAGCAGCAGCAGGACTAATTGAGCTGAAAAACTTAATAAAGCTGCCAAACAGACGGAAACAATCAGGTTTAATGAGTAATTAAGTTGTTTGTTAGTGGTAGTGTTGATGCTGGAGCGGCAGCTGAGCGCGTCGCTATGCGCGCCTCCAGCGTCAGAAAACAAAGAGCTGAGCGCAGATTCTGAGTCCAAAACATCTCAGTTGTTCAGCTCAGAAAGTCGTTTTTATCTGTTCTCATAAATTCTATTTTAAAGCAGCTATAAGGAGGAGGACAGAGGACAGAGGAGCGCATCAGTCCGCTTTCTGCTGCGCCTTAGGATCGGGGAAAATATAAAATAAAAACCACACAGTCCTCCTGTGCGGGACTCTTACCTCCACTATAAAGGTCTTCTCCTCTCCGCACACGGAAATCACCCAGAACAGGATAGGAAAGTAGCAGGTTTTCCAGCAGAACCCCGGGAGCCCCGCTCTCCTCCTGCGCGCCGCTCCTCCGCCTCCTCCGCCGCCTCCTCCTCCTCCAGTCGCCATGGATGTGTCCCCGAGATCTCCCCCTCCACCTCCTCCGCTTCCCTCCGGCGCTTTCCAGGCTCCTGCTCCGCTCCTCACGGGAGGAAACGCTTCTTTAGCTCGGGCTTCATCCCTGCGCCTGGGTCCGGTTCCTGCCTGTTTCTGCTGCGCGGATGGTGCTTGACTCGATGCGCTCCACCGGTTCAGGAGCAGCGGAACAGCTGCACGACTCGGGCAGCAGGCAAACACTGATGCAGGTTTGTCGCTCTGGGTACCAGAGAGCAAGAGGAGGCTGAGGAGGAGGAAGGAGGAGGATGTTGTTGCAGGAGCGCATCATCAACAGAGGGGGCGCTGCACAAAATCCTATTTTAATCAGATTTTCTGATTAAGAGTCTGAATTAAAACAGAAAATAAAGCAGTTAAATAAAACAAACAGTCATGATTAATGGTGATGATTTAATGATTTCTTAAACACTCTTCGTTTGGAACTGGGTGAGTTTTTTCAGCCCAGGTCTTCCCCTCCATTCCTCCCAGTAAACATTTCTGACTGAAAAGCCTTTAGACCACAAATATTTGTGAATTATAATCAAAGTTTAAGTCCTTGCACAAAAAAAAAAAAAAAAAAAAAAAAAAAAAAAAGTTAGCGGAATTAAAAATGTAAAGGTCACCACCTTGAGAAGATTTGTGAGTTTAGGACTTAATAATTTAAGTTTTGCAGTTAAATTTAGCAAACCTTTTAATTCTATGTTATCATAAGTTTAAATGATAATTGATGATTTTATTTAGAGCTTATTGAACCCTATAGGGTGGAAATTTATCATCTGAATTTTTGCCTGACCTTTGTTTGTTTAAGGGATATTAGTTTCAAACCTCAGACCTTTACTGTTGCTCCAAGAAGCAAATTATGTTTCCTAACCAAAAGGCTAGCTCATGACAGTTCCAACTTCTGTTATTTAATTATAAATCAGCTTTAAATTTGAATAAGAAATTAATGAGTCTTTATTGTATATTGGAACACAGAATATTATTGCTATGGCATCTATTTGGCATCAATGTATATTGTTGAAATTGAACCCATTGAACATTGAACCTCTAACTCAAAAGCTGAAACCATAAGGTAGTTTTCCTGCATCTCACAGCGAAACCTGTAATTTGGCTTTAAAGCAAAAACTTTTAAAGCATAGTTACTGCCATCTCACTTGATAAAGATGAGGACTATAACTATCTCATTTTTTTCTGAACGTAATTAATGTATTATCTCAGTATATAACACTTTTTTTTTTCCAGGTTTTTCAGTTCAAAAAAGGATTTTTTTTTTTTATTTGAACCTAATAGATTTCTGACTTTATAGTAAACAAATTATTGTTTATTTTGATTCTAATCTAATCATTTAGTTTAGAGACTCCTGCTCAGACTCCCCGCTCCTCTAAAAAAGGGGTAATTAGTTCTCCAAGCCTCCTTGGGGCCCTATAGTGAAAATTTTGGTGAGGTTATGAGTCAGACATGTTTGATAGCCGCAGTAAATAAAAGGAAATATTATCAACAGCATTAGACTGTGATGAGCTGATCTTATTACTAAGGGCGTTCAGGCACTATTCTACTTTTCATTGGAGGTAATATTTTAGATTTATAGGTAAATTCACAGAATTATACTGTTGACTATGTTAAAACATCTGTGGTGGAATTCATGAAAGTGAGGAAATGTTTAAATATTGTGCAGACTTTCATTTTAAATCTTAGCTGTTTTTTTTTTTTCTTTGTGTTATAGGACAATGTATATATATATATTTATATATATAATCACACTATGGTTTTGGAACCAATAAAATTAATCTGGGATTAAAGCTCCATAGAACCTGAAATTAAATATCTGAGAGAAATTATGATGAAAACTGGCATCAGTTCCCAATCTGATTTATCTTTTGTATTTCTAGATTTCCCTCCTCCCAAAATGTGTGTAGCCTACCTGCAAAGATGGGTCAGAGTTAATGTGAGGCATAGGCGGATCTACTGGGGTGGCATAGGGTGGCAAATGACAGCCTTGCCACCCCAGCTGCCACCCCAGTTGGCGGTAGGGGTGGCAAGGCTTATAAATTATGAATCATTTGAGAATTACGACCGCTAATTTCCAATGTCGGACTGCAGTGAATGCAGCACGAGATGACGCGAGAGCAACTGAGACTGATTGTTATGAAAACCAAATGGGGCAAAGTGAGGGAGCCAGGGGTGATGGGGAGAGGAGAAACGGGATGAAACAGGTAAAAATTGATTAACTATCTATCGAGAAATGAAATCATAATGAAAGCACAATGTTGCTAGCATAGCTGCAATGCTGATTTACAGATGATAAAAATCAGGTTGCAGAACGTTATTTCTCTATCTATGATGTTAGTTAGGCCTGACGTCTCAGGCTCATAAAGACATATTTGCGGTTAGCTATGACAGAAAAGAGACGATCAAGTTTGGTTGAACTCAAATCAAAACGCACAAAGGCATTGGATCTAAATAAAGTTGTGAAGCGTTTTGCTGAGCAACATGGAAATCACTGCATTCAGCTGTTATAGTCATGTTAACTTTATGTTCTGCTCTCTGGTGAGCCTTTACAGAGCTGCTACATTTTGTTTTGGCACCTGAGAAAATCTGATATTTCCTTTAGTAAAACCAATAGTGTTAAAAGTAAAGTTAAAAATGTGATACTGGTGTGAATCCTGCTTAATATGAAGCAGTGTTGTTGTTTCTTTTTTTGTATATATAGTATGAAACTATCCAGAAATGACCTGTATGAACCTACTCACAAGCAAAATGTATTTTTATGTTGCTTCTTTTCAGATTTGTGGAGATTTTGATGTAACATACAGAACCCGCCTTTTTGTTGATTTGTTGATACAGCAGTATGGAGGACCAACTCTGCCATATTTAAAAATAAATACAGAAATAAATAAATGCTTAATAAATAAATAAGCATATAATTAATTGCAACCAAAAATACAAACAACAAATAAATGTAAGTAGAAATTAAATTATACAGCTAGTCATAAAGGTATATAACTCTTTAAATTTGCTTCTTTATTTCTTTGCCTTTTTAATATTTACCCTTTTTTTTTGTCATTTATTATCTTCAACTTCATTTTTTAATTACTTATATTTTTAAGTATTTATTTATGTGCATGTTATCATATTTTTGTCTGTTTTATTCTTCCTTTGTATTTTTTTACCCTAGTTATTTCTTCGCCGCTATTTCTTTCTGCCTGCCCTTTTTACATTTCTGCCTGCCATTATAATATAATTTCTAATTACATTTATTTGTTGATTGTATTTTTGGTGGCAATTAATTGTATGCTTATTTATTTATTGAGCATTTATTTATTTCTGTATTTATTTTTAAATATGGCAGAGTTGGTCCTCCATATACAGCTCTATCTACAGCATATTTACATGCATGAAATGTCCCTTTCATGTTGCCTTAACTGCTGTATGACAAGTTACTGAGGAACAAATGGGGTAAATGTGTGTTCAGAGTAAACATTACATAGATGTCCAGTACCTTGTTCGGGTGCCTTGACCCATTTATTTCTACTGTGTAGTAATGCTCACTTTAGTCCAGCTCAGTCCATAGATCTCTGATGGGGAACTTTTTCTATCGTTTCTTCTTGTGCAAATGCTGCAAAGCTGCCTCTCTGACAGTCAATCTCACACATCTGCGACTCAGCACCTGTGTCTTACCTTAATACCTTTCCTGTCATAAGGCCCCTCTAGAAGTAGTGTTATCATTCTATCTCCTATTAAGTGAGATCACATTGTACAATGTATTATTAATATGAACTGTTTCACATGAAACACTAGTACTGTACATACTATTCTCACCAAACTGTGATAAAATTCAGTGTAAACAAATGCCATATGTTGCCACCCCTAAAAAATTCCTGCCCCCCTCTAGCCACCCCATAAATATTTTTCTAGATCCGCCCCTGATGTGAGGCAATGCACATTTTTGAGACAGTTTATTTCTTATTTTTTGGAAAACAAACTTTCTGTGGAACGCTTTATAAATGAAACCCCAGATCATTCATACATCTACTATAACCTGATATAGTTTTTATACTCTTAATTCCCTTAAACTCTGCCGCAGCCCTTAATTTCTGCTACAGATTCTCATTAAAGCAATATAAGAATCATCTGAGAATAGAAATTGAATTTGACACTTTAATCAATCAAGTTAGAAAAAATGACACAGAATCAGTGATGAGACTGTAACAGTTGATACAACTAGCGAGGAGTTAGCAAGCACTGTTTTTCTAAGATGCTCTGGACTCACTGCCTGTGAATGCTTTCTTATTGAATCAATGAAACAGAAACTATGTGTTCCATTTAAAGTCTTATCTGTTAATAACAGATTTATTTACATGTAGCTATTGTTATGTGAGCTTTGTGTGCACACAGAGGAATAATAGATTTCAAATCTCTGTCTTCCCCCAATTTACATTTTTCAAAAAAGCTAAAAGAACTGGTCTCAGCAAAACAGTTAAATATGAGCCTGTGGTAATCTGTTTAACAAGCCAAGCCTCGACTAAAATAAAATGTTTAACAAAATGCATTGATGGTCTGGTGGTGCTTTTTAGAGTTTTTTTCCCCTATCTTTATGCATCAAAGTGTTATTAAAAAGCAATGAAATATACTGGTATGCAGCCTGTTCACAGTAAAAGTTTTGATTGCTTTATACTTTTCGCTTTAAGCTGTAAGCAGCTATACGCAAAAATAATCTCTATTGCAAGAACAACAAAAAGATCAAATAGCTTTGATAGATGAAAAAAGAAATTCAGTTGTACAAAAACAAACATAATTAAATCAAATAAACAATAAAAAATCTAACTTATCTTTTATCTCCAAAGAAATGTTTGTCGGTCTAGCCCCAAGATCCTTTTTTTTCATGTATAATTAATAATTTCTAAATGAATAAAGATAATTTGATTTAAAAAAGTTTCTTTTAACAAAATTGTGTGTTTGGTTTCTATATTTATAAAGAAATCATTATAAATGCAAAAAAAAAAACAAAAAAAAAACAACAACAAACAACTAATTATCCTTGGATCACCTAGTTTGCTTATGCCCTGTTCTGGCCCTGGGTATATCAGTGTTTTTCTGCAGACTTTGGCTGCTTTAGGAGAAATAATTTGTTGCTTTTTGAGCTCCTTACTCTGACAAGTTAATCAATTAGAAAGAAAAAAGCCTCTAAAATGTGTGCCAACGCTCTGAACCCGTTCAGAACTGGATCATTGTTCTC